CTTGGTATCATCTCGCAACTTCCAGGCAAAATTAATCCCTGGGGCTTCTTAATGAAGGAGATCAAGCCCCTTTTCTGTGATAGCTGAGGCGGGCTGGGGGGTGGGGCGGAGGGTACGGGCATCAGCATCAGAGCAGTTCTTTTGTACTCTGTAAACGCAAACAGGGCCCTGTGACCTTTGCCAGCCACGTTTTCATCAAATCTTTGTCTCTCTTTACCTACATCACCTCTTGTACCCACTCTCTGGCACGTATAGTGGCACCAAAAGGTAAAAATAATGGACCCTTTTTTTTTTAATGGCAGTAACGGGAATAAAACCCAGGACCTCGTTGCATCCTATCACTGAGCTATACTCACCCAACACCCCAGTTGGACTCTGAGAACTGAAAGGAGAAGCCCAGCTAAGCACAGTAGGTATAGGTCAGAACAACAGGTCCGTTATCCGTGGGAAGGAAGAGGCGGTGGTGCTGCGTTTTCCTCACCCAAATTCCCATTTATATTCTTTTTTCTCCATATTTAGATCTTTGCTTAATTGGCTGGTAAATTTAGCACCCGTTTGTCAGGTGACAGGCAACCCAAGAGTTGGACATATTCAATGAGACCAAATCACAGAGAATGGAAAAGAAATGTAATAGAAAAGAACAAAACTGTCTCCATATTAGATCTGTTCCTTTGGCTTTAACCCTGTGCCCTGTTTTCTCCTCTTAGTCTTGCTAGCTCTGCAGTCACATAAAGATAACAAGTTGCAGAATGGAGATCTACATTTGTTTTGTTGGAGGTTTTGCAGGAGCACCATGAGCTGGCCCACGTGGACAGCTGTAAGAACAAAGAATTCCTACACCAAGAAGTTTGCAACAATCAACCACACCCCCTCCACTTTTCTTGCATTAAAGGAGCCTGTATTCTGACTGGAGGAGGATGGTTCTCCAAGACCTTAGTCTGCCATCCTCTCGGTCTGCCGGCTCTCCGAATAAAGTCGCTATTCCTTGCCCCAACACCTTGTCTACTGATTTATTGGCCTGTCGTGTGGCAAGCAGAACGAGTTTGGACTCGATAACAGAAAAAGGAGAGCAATGGGAGAGAAAGTGAACAACTTACCAATATTGAAAAGTGAAATCCTATGCAAAGAATTTTCTGATGAATATACTTCAAAATGTTATCTGTTTCTTCACTCCCTTAACAGCAACAGCAACAATGATACTACTAATACTTAGTAATTCCTACGTATCAGACACTTGCGTAAAGTACTTACGGTCACTTCGTTCTCTTTAGGAAGCACGCTTATTGAGGGTAGCTCTCTGTTGGGTTCCGCTTGCTCCCGTGCTCTCCGGGACTTAGACCAAGGTCTGGTTTGTCCTTGACACCAAGTAAATAGATGTTGCACGAATGAGTGAATTGACTTATTAAGTCTTCCACCAAGAAGCCCAAGAAGGTAGTACGTACTCACCATCCTCATCCTGCTGTTCAGGAGCCTGAACTCCTAGACTACAAAGCCCTCCCTCCGGGCTCTGCAGATGGCTACTCAGACCAGCCTGCGGCGACTCTCTCCTCCTCCTTTCATTGTTTGCCCCACCTCTTTATCTAGTTCTTTCTCCGCCTACAGCTCTTTGGTGCAAGAAGCACAGCCACAGCTATGACCCACAGCTGTACGGCCAGTTAGCGGGGAAGTTGCTTAGTAACCAAAATTGGTGATTCCAAGTCCTCTAGTCTCCCCGTGCCAAGCCAGCTGCCCCCAATCAGAACAAATAGCTCAGTATTTATTGAAGTTGGGTATTGATTAGCTTTTGAAAGCTACCCACATTTGCTGTTGTTGTTTTTTTTTAAACTTTTGAAAAAATAATTACTCGGGTCATCATTACTAAATTCAGATATCAGGTTTAAATTTTTAAGATAGTGAGTCAGATGAGGTTGAAGCTGAACGGGCCCTTCAAGGACACCCTGGTTTTCTAAACAGATGAGCAAACTATGACAAAAAGGGTGACGTAGTCTGTACAAGGCAACCCACTGAGTCAGTGAAAACTTCACAGGGAGAAGCCAAGTCTTCAGAGACCTAGTCTAGTGCCTTCCACAGTGGTTGAGGGGCTTTGTCTCAGATCAGCCTCCAGAATGGCATTATGGGAACGTGGCAGCTCTTCCGCACAGTCTCCTGAGGATAACAGCAAATTGCGTGTGAACACAAGGCGATCTACAAGTGACTGAGAATCGTGTAACTAATCGAGTTTCATTGGTGACCTCTTCAGTTTTATAATCATAACTTGATGAGTTGAAAAAATACATATCATGTCTGGTCATAGCAGGAACATTTTAAACATTCCATTTTCTGCATTTTGACCTCAATGATCTTCAAATATGAAAGGAAAGATGATCATTTTTGTTATGTGGACATTTTTATTTTCTACAGGAGCATCAAAACCTAAAGACCCATGAATTTAGGGCTAAGATCAACTTTGACTTTAGGAAACATATTAGCTGGTATTTATTTCAAAGACTCTCCAGCAAACCTTCACAGCAGAGCATGAAATCAACAAGATACATTAAGGGCTTAAGATTATGGTTTTGTTTTATTTCTGAAGAATGCAGGTGTGTGCATGTTCACAAGTGTGCACATTGGCTTACGTAATACACCAGAGTCAATGTAGGGTGTAAAGTCCCCAGAAAATTGTGAACTCTTTGCTTCTCTTACTTCTTGTCTGTCTATTCAGGTGTCACTTCAGGTGTTACATCATTGCTTTTGGCCTATGTGGATGGTGATGGAACACAGAGAGCGAAGGGAATATGTCCAATGCTGGGCAAATCCACACTTTTATTTTCTCAAGTTACACACATTTTCACCAGGTAATCTCATACTCTGGTGTTTAACAGGTTTTGTATGTGATTTAAAAACTGATTAATAGTGAAAAGACATAGCACTTAGGTTCTTTTCCTTCACTGGTGTTTAAATGTTAGAAGTTCTGAATCTCATTTTGTAAAAGATATAAAAAAAATAGAGTTGAATACTTAGCTTCCATTACTTCTTCCTGGGGAAATGGTTAGAATGTGACTTGCCATCTGTATTTTTAGTCTGTTTAGTTGGATTTTAAGGTGATTTTTTTTTTAATTGTTAAAAATTCAAAAGAATTTAGTGATCAGCTTTTTACAAAGCAGCAGAATCCTTCATTGACCCAACACAATACATGGGGCAACACAGGGTTTTAAATTACAGTGTGACATGAGTTTGAATGTAGGTTTAAGTACAAAACGTTTGCAAATCAGTTTTACTTTTGTCTTCAGTTGTTAGTTTTCATCCCTAAATAGTCCTCCCTACACTCAAGCGCAGAGAGTTCGAGGACTGGGTTCACATCTTGCTAGGAAGCCCTTAATAAGCTAACAAAATACATTGGGCAGGGGCGATGTGGTATTCACTTACTTTCAACTGATCAATAGTGAAAACTGAAACCTAAGATTCAAAAAAGTTAATCTCATGTTCACATTTCTTTTAAAACAATTTTTTTTATCATGCGGAAAGCTCTTTAGTCAATAGTACTCGTTCATTGGGATGACAGAAAACATTAAATTATGCATAAAGTAAAAATATACTCAACATATTCATTTTTCTTTTATTTCTGATTATGACAGATTTAGGAATATATACTGAAGTTCAAGAAAAAGACAAACTTTACTTCTGTAGAGGCCTTTGCTTGCCTGTTTAGGGAAGTCTGGGTCTGATCCCAAAACATGCTAAGAAACATTCCCTTAGAAGGCTACTTAAACCCCACCCTGTACATTCTCTTAAACCATGGCGGGAGGCCACGGGTGCGACTGATATTTAGAGGCAAAAAAGAAAGGATAAAGTCATAACGTTAAAAAAGAGTAGATTTATCATGTCCACCCAACCCCCCGCTTAATGTTTAGAATTTATGATGTCAAATTCTATTAGAATAAAAACATGAAACTGCAAGATGATTATGCAAGGAAACCAATCTGAACTTGAAGATAGTTTTTCATGGAATGTATCTGACAAGCAGCCCCCACTTTTATTGACTGAATCTGAGTATGGTTTGGTTTATGAATTCCCAATTCCTAAGGAAATGATTTAAACAAATTGTGGGACGTATGTACACAAATTTATGACTTGGCTCTGGCAGGGAAGATGGTCTCTCCGAAAGAATAAAATCCTAGGGGTTATAAATGGGTCAAAAAGTATTAGACTTTTTATTTATACTTCAGAAATGTAATCACGTGAATGAAATGGTTTCATATACATTTTTACATCCAACAGCGACACACTGTTCATACATTAATTCTATAGGAAAATGTACATCCTTCTTCTTCTTCTTCTTCTTTTTTTTTTTTTGCTAAGTAAGATTTGCCAAGTGTTCATGGACAAAAAAACAAAAAACAAAAAACCTTTCATTGCAACCTGAACTGTGGAAATAACAAGGGTAAGCCATGTTCCTCACAATGGCTTTATGGCATTAATAAAGCTATCGTCAAAATGCATGTTAATATTGGCGTGTGTAGGATGAATTCCCCAAAATGTGAACGCCCAATTGGAAACTTTACAGAAGAGTCTAGTGGATTTTGTGACTGAATCTGCCCAGGGATGTTAACATCCAGGATGGTTTATTTTAAGTATACTTCTGTAGCTCTATTCCTAGCTGACTATTCTTCGATTCCCTAATCACAAAGAAATGCATTCTTATGAAGTTAAGCAGCTGTAGACACAGAATACTGATGACATTTCCTCCATCTCTGAGTTATCTAAAGAAAACCCAGTTAGTGGTAATTCTACCAAATACTGGTAACAGTCAGAAGAAATTTTAATTGATTTTCAAACAGTACAACTGTGCCATGAATCCAACCACACAGCATATAAGCCTTAAGCCCACTAGGTTTAAGCAATTGTGTCTTTGTAGACTAAAACTATGTAAAATAAAATCTGATAACTCCCTGGTGTTAGAGGTAGACAGTTTTCTTTCAAATCCTAGGTTTGGTCCTTTATTTTATTCAGCAGTGAAAGCCATGAATACAGAACGAATAACAGCTGTTACAATTCTCAACCATGACTTCTAACGTCAGAGAATTCAAAGTATGAACATAGTACACAGTAATGAAAAGTATCAAAAATTAGTTTACCTCAAAAAAGATAAATAAAACAGGTATATTCCACCAATACATAAACAGATGTTTGTGCTACAGTTAAAATTTGCTGTATACAAAAGATCATAGTCCCCATAATCAGCTTATGATAGAAGCAAGAATACATGAGCCATTTAAATTGTCAGACATTATGCTTTATAAGGTATGCACAGAAGTTCAAGCAATAAATACATACATTAGTTCAAAGCCTTACAATAGCTACGCAAAGCAGATGCAGAAAAGCAGATTTGCTATTCCTAGCAAGCAATGATATAAGAGTAAAAATTCATGAAATGCATTAAAGCAACATTTTTCTTAGAAAAAGTCTGGTCATTTATGGGTCCACCAACATTTTTACATAATATGCACAATTATCAAAATACAGACCAAGCATTTCAGAAAACTCCAAAAAACCTAAAATCTATTTTTCAAAGCAATTGCAGTTTTGGAGGTTTTTCTGGTATAATGTGCAAGCAGCTATTTTTTAAAATTGTATTCATATAAAACCCATGCAAAACTCTACAGGTATATGCATTCTGTGGCTGAGACTTCCTTTCAAAAGTTTTGTAACTGAGGTATGCATACTTTAGCATTGTAGTCTTAGGCCACCCTCCTGATGGTACAGCGCTCACAGTTACTTTCAGTCCATCAAAGCCTTTTGAACATGCACCTGACAGACCCATTTTCCCTTCAGATAATCCTTCCAGCAGGATCCGAGATGACTGAAAACCATCCTTCACAATACCAACCTCTCTTTTGCTCCCCTATCGTCAACTTCCCGCTCACTGATCATGACCCAAAGACAAACATAATGAAAAGTAGCAGTTACTGTGACGTTCTCACGTTTCATGCAATCTGCCATAATTGTTCTAATTTTTTTCTTTTTTTTCTTTTTTTTCTTTTTTTTTTTTGCAGAGGTAGAAGCTTTCAGAAAGCCTTTTGGGTAAGTGGGAAAACCCTTTTGAAAGCCGTTATGTCCTTTTATTTGGTGTGACAGATGACTGGGTATCTCTCTAAGTCTATTTGCTGACTTCAGCAAAGAATAAAAGATGAGCTTAGTTTGCAAGAACCGGCTCCATCACATGGAACTGGTACGTATGTTAAGCTCTAGCAGCCACCTTCTGTCAAAACTGTTTGTAAAGCAATAACCATAATCAGGTTATGAGGTCCCTTGGTTGGGGGAAAAAGTATTATCAAGACTTGGCACAGCACATGAAAAGCAACACGTAAAATTTCTAGGTTTTAAGCAAACATCCGACTATGCTATTTTCCACTACACCGTAACGCAGTATCATAGTTTGGGGGGTTTGGAGTTGTCGAGAAAACCAGCATTCCAACAATTTGGCCTGCGCAAGTCTTTGAAAGGGAGTGTATTGTTAGTGTTAATATCCCGTATAAGCAGAGGCAGAATTATATGTAACTTTGGTTTGACTGAAAATAAATACCATGGACTACAATTGCTATAATCTTTGCTTTCAGTGTAAAAACTCAGCTAGATCACTTTAAAATCAATATGAAATTAATTTTTGGCTTTACTAGACCTTTTATGTTTGGTTCCTACTTTTTGTTTTTTTCATTATAACTTAAGACTATAAAAAATAGTACACAACAAAGATTCAGACCATACAAGACATCTTCTAACAACATGTATTCACCACCGAAAATAAGTGACCGGATGGGGAAAACAAAAACACAATGTACTATATATATATAACAATATGCAATCTGCATTTGCATCAAGTACATAATCGTTTTGGTCAGTGATCCACATTTGTTGCTTTCTAGCATATCATTAACTTCCACTGCGGATTTTGTCCTCACCTCTGTCCTTAACGAAAGCAAATCTTCATTGCACTGAGATGGACTTTTGGCCTCAGAAGATTACTCTGTGACTGAATTGACTTTTTGGGTGTGGTTTTTGTCATATTTGATTCTTGGTTTAGGGCTAAATGAAAAGATCCCAGAGGTCATCAGAAAACAGCAGGTAGTTCATGGAAAAGGTCCCTTTGTACTAATTGAAGTTACAGAAGGCTGACCAAAGCATGTGGCTGCTTCTGTCCTTGAGCTCCTGGCCTTGTTAGAGTTGGCTTTGGTTTGCAGCTGTAGCCTTTGACTGTGTTTGCAGGTAGACAAAGCTTTATCACAAGGAGGTAAAGAGTACAGTTGTAAGATCTATGCAGATATGCAAATGTTCCTACGGTGCTTGCACAGGTAATGTTAGCTTAGGATTGCACTTTACATCTTAACACTAACAGCACAGACTGGAAGCCTAGGGTTTCAGATGGTTGCAACAGTCTAATTACTGTGTTCTGTAGTAACTAACTTATGTCATTTACAGTTGGTGGCACCAACATAAAAAACTAATGTTCTGTTGTTTAAAATT